AGTCACTAAAACTGATATATTAATTATCAGTATAGTTGCTGATTTATTCAACACTTAATTAATCACTGCAGCTCTAATTTATGCCGCAATGAAAAAATAGGAAGAACATAAATCCTGTCAGTATGTACAGTTTACTTACTGACTAATCTGTGAAAACACATGTAGGATGTGAAGACACCACAGAGGGCCCCATCCAACAGATCAGACAGTAAACTAGATTTAAGATTTAACTTCCTTTTTCATTTTTGTTCATACATAAAAACTAAATAGAGCTCCTCCTAAGACCAAGATTGCAAACTGTGGAAATGAAACTCTGGAACAGACTTAACAAAAGACAGTAAACTGGCTCTGTGCTGTTGGTTTCAGACGAGGTGCTTCAGTAAGAATTGCGCTACTGGACATGTTTGTGGTATTGCATTCCTATTTATTGCAGCATCACATGAACTGACACCACATTCAAAGAGAAATATTGCACCTTTTACTCCATCACATGTACAACACAGCCTTAGTTACTAATAACTCATTTTCAAATATAAATTCAGGCTGCAAAACATGAAATCAGCTCATGAAATATGAAATAAATTGCCCAACAGTGGGCAATAAAATCAAAATCAGTTATAATAATCCAACATTACAGTAACATTACATGCAGAAGGATGTGATTTTTGTGATCTGATAAGACGTTTTAAAACTTTGACCGCTTTAATTCTTTCACTACTGCTTCTGCATAATCTGTATCCTCTCCTAATTTAACACCCAAACAGTTTACTAGTGTTTTTTCCTACAACTTTGACCTCTACATTTTTACTTTTTAATGAACACCCTCTTGTCTGCTTGTGGTAAAAGAGGAGATATCTTCTTTTTGTGTGTGAAATTTTGCTAAACTCACTCTTCAGATTCAAATAGTAAAGCAGAGATCAAATCTGGACTATAAATATAAAAAAAAATACCTTGAAATCAAATTCATCTTTGTGGCTCAGAAAGCAGCAGTGTAGCTGGACCCATGGGAGAGGCCCGAAACATGGCAGCTTCTCTTGACAAGCACAGCAGGGCCTGGGGAGGTTTTGGGCAGACAGGAGAGCTTGCAGCAGACTGCAGAGGCCTCCAGGGGAAGCCAACTGGATAAATAGTTCACTTAGAACCCCTTGCTCTCTAAGAGGTCACCAAGGAAATATGGAATGGAAAGAGAAAATGGAGAGGCTTTATCTCGCTCTCATAGGATTGCTGCCTGTTTGTATACTAGACTGCTCCATAAATACTGCACGCATCTGCCGCGCAGCTGAAATGATACAGTCAATCCTGCTCATTCGTTTAATCTAACAACAAACTGCTATCCAGTCCTCCAAAACACACGCTGCAGCTTCGAATTTCATTGCAAGAAATTTAAAAAGAAAACTTAAACTGTGATCCTAAATTCATCTACTGGAGTTCTGTCCACATCTCGGTGCTCGATTGTGTTGTTGCAGTCCAGCAAATTAAATATAAATGGATATGTGATATCAGTGACCCGAGATATGCCTCCGAACGCTCCCCACATGCCTCCACAGCTCACAGACTGCCGTACAGCACCCACACCTGATCGAATGATTGCTCGGGAAAATGCATTCGGGAAAATGGATACTTTGGTCGAGGCGTGCAAATAAATTCCCTCTAATGTATGCTGCAGGTGTAAAGCTGCAGATTGTGTCACGTTTCACTGACACAGTGATACAGGCAGCAATATACGTTATTGGTCACGCTGAGTGAAAACGAAGGCGAGAAATAATGATTAATAGCAGAATAACATGTTGATTAAGTTTTTGATTATATTGTTTGTTTTATAAACCTTCAGAAAACTTTTCAAAATCTACAATCTCAGGCTGCTGCAATAGCTCAACTGGTTGAGCTGGTGACCCATGTACTGGGGATATAGCCCCCGATGCAGCAGTTGTGGGTTCGAATCCAGCCCATGGCCATTTGCTGCAGGTCCCTCCCCCATTCTTCTCTACTGTCCTGTCAAAAAAAGGCCAAAAAATAACTTAACAAACTACAATGTCCTCGATCCAAAGGTAACTTTGTGAAATATCTTGTTTGCCTGAAGTGCTCTCCAAAATCATGTTGAGACCAGAAATAAGGAAAATCTACACAGATGGGAATGAGTTTTTGAATTTCCACTAAACAAAATCTCACGGAAAGTAGTAAAAACAAAAACAAAAAGAAAGAAAGAAAGAAAAACAATGCGGAAATGTTTTAGGTAGATGTAGTATTTCAATTTGATACTACCTTATACTTGTGATCCACAAAATTTCAGAGAGAAATGTACTTTTTAATGCACTCCATTTGTGTAAAAGTTAAACTCAACTATCAAATCTACAATATTAGATTTGGTTCTTTTTATTTTCTGTGCTTTTCTTCCTGGATTGACGTGGCTGATATCACAGATTTCTAAGCACCAATAAGAACTGGGGTATTGTTTGGTGACTGCCAATCAAATCTGACCAAACCCCATTGATTCAGTATTGGGGTGTTCAATTCATAATAAATAACAGTTTGTTTGTTTTTTTTTCGATTATTGTTAATGCTCATTTAGCTGTGAATAAGACTGTAAAATTAAAAGCCAAGATTTCATGGACTTGCTTTTATTGAATTTTAAATGGAAGACTTTGACTTAGACTGGAATCTGTTTACATTGTGGTATTTGTACTTTTATTTAGGGATAAAATCTGAACACCTCGTTCACCGCTGCCTGCCTGTGTGCATCCAGATTCCCTCTACAGTCTGGGATGTATCTCTCCCCGCCCCCCCAGACAAACAGTGCCCTCATGAGTTGGAAAACGATCACTGCCTTGACTCGCTCATCACATGTTTTGTACTGGAAAAGAGAAATGTGTTCACTTTATACAGATCAGTGCATTTCTAATGTAAAATACATTTTCCAATTTCCAGTATGAATAGTTTTTGGGTATAGTAGTCATTTAGAAATGAGTCTAGATGAATTATTGGGCACATAAGTCTAATAATAATAATAATAATAATAATAATAATAATAATAATAAATGTCCACATAATATTTTTTCCTGAAACTTTCAAAAGCATCTCATAGTTTTCCTCAGTAGACAGTGTGTTCAGTAGGCTTTATGTAAAAAATATAATTAAAAATAACTTTAATTTTAATTCAATTAAACTGCAAAATCACCTCTTTGAGCTGCTGCATCTGAAAGCATAAACCTGAGACTAATGACAGACTTTAATATCACACAAACACATGCTGATCAGGATCCTAAATGTTATTTACTTTAGCATTTCCTGCACCCTGGAGCACTGTCACAACAAAACCTCATCAGCCTGCAATTAAGAACGACGAAATCAGGGACAAACACGGAGTGAGCTGCAGTGTGTGCGCCGTATTTGCTTTGCGGCTTTTTGTCGAAGGCTTTCATCACACGGCAATACAGAGAGCAAACCTGAGCGGCAGATGTCGGCTAAATCCTACCGTTCAAACACGCTTCTGCACCTATTCATCTAAAATCAGGACTTGAGCTGCTCTTTTGCAGAAGCTGTCAGGCTGCAGCAGGAAGTCAGTGATTGTACCTTTATCATATTGCACACGGACGCTGGAGGCAAAAGAGCCTCTGAGCCTCTGAGGCCTTTTGTGTTTGCACAGAGGAGCAATATGTTATCATCAAGCAATCATGGAAAGGCATTCTTAATCCCTGTGCCTCTGTTCACGACAGGCTTTTGCTTTTAATCGTATAGAGAAGTCTGGAGCACCAGCATGTGTCACAGTTGGATTTATTTATCGAATATGCCGTCAAATCACAATGGAACCCAGCGGCAGGTTTGAAAGGCGTGTTGCCTTCACAGTTGGCAGCTAATTGATTAATCGTTACAGCTCCACTGTATAAAGCATTTCACGTCTATCAAGATGTAGCTAATAAACTACATTTACAGACTCTTCCTATTTCTTACAGGGGCCCAATATTTAATTTCTGCAAATGATCAAAACAAGAGTCTTGTTTGAGACGCATGAGTGAAAGTCCCTGCTGCTTTATTTTCTCTCATAGCTGATCTGCACTGTGTAACCGTACCAAGAACACACAGGATGTTTACAGAGAAAAATGCATAGATAAACTTTTGGTTAACCGCAAAGAGATTTTATTGGAGTGGATACTAAAATAATAAAGATTGATAATAAAAAAAGATCAGAACTCCCCCGATAAGCCCCTTCTGCATTTTCTGGATTAACTACAAAAGAAAAGCTACTTCTAAATCTATACAACATGATTTAAACGCTCCGGTAAGATGAATGAAGACCAAAAGCTGCTGGGAAGACGGACAAAACATCATTCAGTGATAAAATAATCATCAAATAATCCAGGTCTGCTCTGAAGAACTGTGTAAAGGTTATCAGATTTGTACTCAAACACAAAAAGACAACTCATATTTTACTAAAGATAAGCTCATTGGAAGGCAACAGAGTTCAAAACATGATTAATAAAGACTATTTTCAAATGTTAAGGCAGTATGTAAATTCATATTCATTTCTATTTGTGTGCACAAGTGGCAGATCCCCACCTACACCGCAGGAAGTAAAGCCACCACCTCAGTGAGTGCATGTGTGAACAGATGATGAGCACGAACTCTCACTGGATTGCAAACTACTCATAGTGAGTGTTCAGGTGTGACATATTCAAACTTCAACCTCTGCTCTAATTATTGTACGTGACTGAGAGCCTTACTCGCCCAGATCCTTCCAGACAGTTCTACATTTTCTGCAACCACATAGAAGTGCTCTGGTTTAATCCTATTACATGTCAAGCACAAAGGGAGATAAGAGGTTTACGTTTGGGTTCCTTACAGACTGAATCTCTCTCTGTCCCCTGAGACATCAGGAGAGCTACACGTTTGGCCGTTTTGCTTCCAGTGCTGAGGCTTGTTCTTAGAGCATCTATTGTGGTGCGTTGGAAAATAAAGGCATATCGATAATAGGATTGGCTGCCAGGGCTGAGGAGATGCTGACGATGAGTGAAGATCAGGCGAATGACATAATCCAGAGATGGGTAAGTCAACAAATATAACACTCATGAGCACCTGTCATAATAATAATTATGCTGTGGGGTCTTCAGTTGAGCAGGAAAGTTGCTTCGATAACTTAGAAGCGTCCTAGATACTGGTTGCTCGTTCTACAATAAATCTTATGCTCTTCTCTTCACCACTATCATGAATGACCAAAATAAAACCAAAAACATGTCAGAAAACAGTAAATATACGTGTCTTACGGTTAATGCTGAGAATGTGAAGAGAATCTGCTGCGATCTAAAGATACCAGGCTTTCTTGTGTCATTTTATTTGATCTAATATGTTGAAACTGGGGCTGCAAGTTGGCTTGGTGGTTAGCATCGTTGCCTCGCAGCTAGAAGATCCCTGCTTTGCGTCCCAGTGAGGACACCTGGGATCTTTCTATGCAGAGTTTGCATGCTCTCCCCGTGTAGCATGGGTTCTCTCCAGGTTCTCCAGCTTCCTCCCACAGTCCAAAAACTTGTTGAGGTTAATTGGTGATTCTAAGGTGTGAATGTGAGTGTTCTTGGTTGTCTGTTTCTAAGTGTAGGATAGAGTCCAGCCCCCCACGACCCAAGTGAGGATTAAGCAGTGTATAGATAATGGATAGCTGGATGTTGAAACTGAAAACTCAATCAACCCTCTGAACTTCAAAGCCAGCTGGTTTGACAGGCATGTTATATTTTTTTAAAAAAAGAAAAAAAAAAAGACCATGATCAAAATTGCACTATCAGAGCCAGAAACTGTACAAACACACAGAATCATTTGACTAAAACTCTCTGACGGTTCTTGAACAACTCATCGAGAATGTGCCATTCCATCTGACAACTGAACCAAATCTGAGCTTCATATTTTGACATTTAATCAAAAACACTATACTCTAAATGTTTCATTTAAAATGCACCAAAACTAAACCCTTTAGTTCTGCCCTCCTTGCTGCTAAACTGAAGCCATTAGTGGCTCAGCTGTGACAAACAGTCACATGACAAAAATTCAGGAAATGTTTGGTTGAACTTCAGAGCAGAGAGGACAAGTATAGAAACAAATTTAAAATGAAAGTAGTAAAATATCTCTTGTACATAGAGTCACCATTTCTTTTCATGTATTGGTGACACCCGTACGCACTTTTTTCCCCCTTTTATTTTAAAAAAATAAATAACTACAAACATTCAACTTCAGTTATTTCTTTCTTAAGATATATGGCAATATAACTGTGTCATACTGCTCAGGAGACATTTCTGAACTCTCTCTACTTCTAGCTACAGTTGTACTGTTTCCACTGAAAGGCAGGACTTTACACTGCAATCAAAAATGTGACAGGGCCCAAAATCTGCCTGGACTTCAGAGATTAATGACACATAGTAAAAGAAAGCAGCATAATATGTGCTAATCATCTATTCTCTATTTAGCGAGAAACTCAAGAAGACCTGAAGCCTGCTGACTACCAGATGTTCAAGAATTTGGGATGTGCCTGTCTCACTGAAGGTGACGGTGAACAACTCCTCAAATTCATTCAGGATGAGAAAAACCAGGTATTTCTTTTCTGCCTCCGAAAGAGGCCGGACATCTTCATCCTCACTAGTCCAGCAGTAGTTACACCTCACTGAAGTGACAGCAGACTGACTGTGTTCATCTGTCATACAGCACTAAAAGCACAGACGCTCACACTGCGCAACAACGGTGACATATCCACTGAAGCGAACTGCAGCAGCCGCTTCCCCCCGCTAGCCTGCTATGCTAAACATCAAGATGCAGCAGTTACTCTGCGCCTGCTGGCCTCCTGACCTGGAGGTGTGGAGAGAAAACAAGCAGATATTCAGTCAGATTTCTCGCTCCACTGATAACCCTCTTTAATACGGCGCTCCTCTAAGTGCCCTTGGTTGTCCCATCTCTCCATGCTTCATGCAGTTGTGTGTAGCGGACTCTGAGAAGCATGTGTCATCTCCCACTCTTTCCTCTTTCGGAGGCCAAAACTGTCTCGGGGGGCTTTGATTGATTGATTATCAAATGAGAAATCCCCTCACTGTCAACGGGGACAGACATGCAGAGAAACACAATGTGTGTATGACATACTGGTGATGATGGGAAGTTTTGTTGAAAAGATCTTTTGACAGCCTCCTCCCTGTCATGAAATCAGACACATTTAGATTTACAAATATGTCTCACAAGAAACATCTGCCGACACACACTGCAGTCACATCCACTACCAATCTAGCAGGCCTGATGATTAGTCATCCTGCACAGTACAACACAAAAATAGTTTTGTTTGTATTACTTGATCATCTATTCTTTTAATAATTTGTCCTTTTGTGTGTTTGTGTGCAGCATAAAGGAACATCTATAACTGTAGTAATGTAGTTGGTATATAACAATTGTAAACAAAAATTCAAAAAATATCTCCCAAAAAGACAGATTTTGTCAATTATTGCTCAGCAGTTTAGCTGAAGATGCAAAACTATAACGGTCAGTGTGGAACTGCAAAATAAATATTTGCCATTCATAGATATATGAATGAATTATTACTTGAGATTTTTTAAAAGACATTCATATTTTCTCTCCAACAAGTACCAAACTGCATAATTTTTTTTACCAGGAAACGTCAGTGTGGACCCTAAACCATCCATTACACGCGTTCATCCAGTGTTTAGTTGAACTCATTGTAAGCACTGAGACTTCCGCCCCTCCCGTCGCTCCATATCTTGTTTTTGTTTTTTCATAGTTTGATAGATCACACTTTAAGCCACAGCTTGAAGACTGTTCAGATGCAAAGCAAGTGTGAAACTGCACTTGTTATTGCACGCACCTGTTTATGCAGTGACGCATGCAAATTGAAAGGAAATGCCCGTCGACTTCTCACCACCGTGGTCTCTTTTCACATTTACTGATGATGTATTCTTTCACACATAGGTAATCGTGACGGCTATGGGTTACGTTCTCATGGAGCCTCTTATAAGCGAAGCAACTAAAAAAAAGAAGAACCTTGACCACTGCCGGGCTGCCGTCACACATCTGATTAAAGTAGGTACAGACAGTTTATCTATACAGTCAAACACTCTGTCTTTGCAAGAGCCTAAATGTCTGTTCTGTTGTCTAGACCTGCAGCCCAAATGATCTCCTGCACAGTTTACTTGAAGTAATTGAAGACGTCGATCCAGGAGCAATTTCTGACACCATCTTAGTTCTGATTCCACATCTTCAAACAGGTAACACAGCTCTTCATGCAATTATATTACCCATCACACGTTATGAAGCTACAGAGAGGCACTGCAGTGACGCTTTCTATGACAGCTATAACTTTTGCATATTGTATGCAATGAGCTGATAAACCTTTACAAAGCTTTGATATCTGTCGGTCAGATGTTACATTCGCTGACTATCTCCACGATTCGTGAAAGACATTCAGGCAAAAATCATTTCTGAACCCCAAAACCTGTAGGCAGGTTTGAAAGTGCCAAAACAAACCACTCACTTGTGTCAGAAACTGGAAAAAGAAAGAATCAACAGAAAGAATCTTTGAATTTTAAACTTTCTGATGATCCTTAAACTACTCATTCAGTCAGACAATGTCCCTTTTTTTAATCATGACGAACCAAAAATCTACCATTTGCACTGAACAGGTCATAAATTCTTGCTCTCCTCTCCATCACCCTGAAGCCATTAGAGACACTGCTGCAAGAGCCATGTGACAAAAAAAAAATCTAGGACTTTTCAGCTGACCTGCAGGCTGTGTTCACAAAGAGCAGAGACAAGTACAGACACAAATTCAAAATGTGGGTAGTAAAATACCTATAGTCTGTAGATTTCTTCCCCCCAGTTGTATCAACACAATTGGTGACCAGTTTATTGTTTTAAATTAAAACTAAAATGTAGGAAAACCAACTTTCTTTTTTTAAATGATGCATGTCATTATAACTGTTGTGAGTTTTCTCCTATTTCTTGTCATGGTTGTACCACAGAGGTGCAGGACTTTATGTAGCACTGAAAAATTAACGTACTATGACAAAAGAAAAAGAAAAAAAAAATTGTAAACCCAAGAAAGAATGGACATAAACGCACTGTGTAAAGGCCTACAGCAAGTTTTATAATATACAGTCGTCCTCAAATATATTCATTAAAGAAGGAAAAAACAGCGGTCAAATAAGTTGACATTGACAAAAATAATAAGAAAGTAATACAAAAGTAATAATAAATAAAAATGTAATGAAAATCATGACATTGCTTTCGAATTGTGATTCAACAGAAATATTAAAACACACACACACACACACACACACACACACACAAAAACAAGCATGCTGGGACCTGTAAACTAATATTTTGTTGAACAACCCTTTGAGCCAATCACTGCAATCCAGTGTTCTCTGTAACTCTCAATCAGACTTCTGCACCTGTTGACAGGTATTTTGGTCCACTGCTCATCAGCAAAGTGCTCTAATTTGTCCAGGACAGTTTTTTTTTTATTGTTTTTTTTTTAGTTATTATTTTCAACCACAATTCAAAAGCAATGTCTTATCGTCCTAAATGATAATTTAGCAAATTTTTATTTATTATTACTTTTTTCAGTTTCAACTTATTTGAGTGACTGTCGTGAATTTTGCCTTTTCTTTAATGGAAGCGTATGAATACATTTGAGGATGACTGTATATTTCAAGTGCTTTCATCCCGTTCGGCGAATCACGCCCAGTATGTCCATGAACATCATCAATCAATGCAGCTCAATGGATGGAAGCAGACGTAGCCATTAGCCTCCCATCACTGATATAAATGCAATGGACAATATAGACACTGCACCTGTCAGTAAAGGACAAAACAATTCTAAAGCACTACACCCTCTAAAGTGACAGCACGGTTGAATCAACACCACCCTGCAACAGATTCAACAAACACTGAACAATGGGTGTTCTTCGTTCAGCTCATGTGTCTCGTTGCTCCCCTCATTCGCATCTTAGCTCCTCCTAGTGAGAATATGAGAGACGTGAGGATGGAGGAGCTACAGCTGCTAAATAAGAAATCCTTCATTCATGGTGTCAGCGTTAGGCAACATCAGTTAATGAGAATGTGCTCCACGGTTGTATCACCTGCCCAACCGACTGGCAGGAATTTCCACAGAAACCCTGATTTAAGAACAGTTTTAACACCTTCAGTATCTTTGACAGATAGAGATAAAAATCTCTCACAGCCTTACATATGAGGAGGCCTTTACTCATTTAGACGTGTGTAAATGTAACATATCCCCTCAGTAGTATTACTACTATTGTTGCTGTAATCATTTAACATTTCTTTAAGATGCATTTTCTGTGACTACCTAAACAATTTTTTTACTGACATAATAATAAACCCCATTACTGTGTAATAATTGTGCTGTGAAATTAACAAACCGCTGCTTTGTGTGATAGAGGGGCTGCAAGGTGGCTCAGTGGTTAGCACTGTCGCCTCGCAGCAAGAAAGTCACCGGTTCACATCCCGGTGAGGACACCCAGGATCTTTCTGCGTGGAGTTTGCATGTTCTCCCCGTGCAGAGTGGGTTCTCTCCGGGTTCTCCGGCTTCCTCCCACAGTCTAAAAACACGTTGAGGATAATTGGTGATTCTAAATTGATTGTCCGTAGGTGTGAATGTGAGTGGGATAGATTCCAGCTCCCCAAGCGGTGTATAGATAATGGATGGATGGATTGATGGATGCTTTGTGTGATGCAACAATATTATCCTATATTTTCTGAAGTGTCAGGTAATAGTGTCTATGTAAGTAACTGGTAACTGCTCCTACTTGTGTTTGCAAATGGCGTTGTGCAGTTTTTCAAAAATTTGCCATTTGGCTCCCCCTGCTGGACGTTCATGCTAACTAACAAAGTCCTGTTTGTTGCAAAGTGCTGCTCCGCCTGGATGAGAGGAAGGCAGCCAGCGTGGGTTTGGCCCTGTCGGCTCTGCAGAAGCAGCTGTCTCGGCTGCCTGTGCCTTACAGCCGGCAGCAGGAGGAGGCGGATGAGTTCGGCCTGTGTCGCTGCTGCACCGCCTTGGCTGCGTTCACGAAGCCTTTCATAGAGGAGGTGAAGAGGAAAGACGGAAAGTGTGTCGCCACAGCTGAGGACGAGGAGCTGAAGACTGAGATCCTGAAGTTGTAGGTTTCTGTCCTCATGTTTGGTCATGTTTAAGGTGGAGCAACAAGATAAACACACATGAGTATTTATCTTCAGGACCTTTGGGTTTAGTGAAACTATTGATATTTAAAGAGTTTTCATTCAAATGTGTTTCATATATTTTATATAATCCAGCAGTCTGTGCTGATGCTGACCAGGGCTTTAGCCTTTTTTTCATTCTTTTTTCTAGCTACAGTGTTTTGACTATTAACACTGTTAAATACACGATTAATTAGATCAAACTTATAATGCAAAGATTTTCAAATTTTACAGAACTTTTTCATTTGCTTTTATTTTTTCTTTATTTTTACAATACATGAATGCATCAATAACATTACAAAAATAGTCTAAATTTACATGTCTGATAACATAAAATGTGTAACTGCATAAATAATATAAATAACTAAACATATAGTAATGATTATAATTGAGAAATTCTAACATTTTGAAAAATAAAGACTATTATAGTTTATTCACAAATTGTTCATAATTTCACAAATATTTCCTTTTAATTTAATAGATCAAACTGATAAATATAAAGTTTAACACTGGGAATATATTTCTAAAATTACATACATTTAGTGACGAATAACAGAACAAAAAGTTGTTGCTAACATTTTACATAGATTTACATGAGATAATAAGAATTTTTCATTTGAAAAATGTTGAATAACTGTAATTTTATCAGTGTATAATATCAATAAGGATGATTTCATGTAAAGTGAAGGCTTGAAAGCACATTTTAATGACAGAAGGTACATTTATTTTTAGAGGTTTAGAGGTGTAATGGCCATTATTCTACAGAACATTTTCCAGCTCCTGAACATTAGAGTATACATGTGTTTTTTGTTGTTGTTTTTTTTTTTTAACAGCGTGGTACAATAAAATAAGCTAAAAATGCAATGTGCTATTTAATTTTTACAAGGACATAAAGAAGTTGAACCACCAACAAGAAAAGGCTGCAAATGACTTCATAATTGCTTTCTTCATTTAGCTACATGAAGAGCTTGAGAGAACCTTTGCTCGAGGCCGAACTGACCGGAGACAGAAAATCCCCACTGTGGCTCTTTGCAGTGGAGATAATGGTAAGAGCAGAGTCTTCACTTCTACCTTTCTTCATAACAGAGAGCCATAGAGCAGATGATGTTTCAATCCTCATACGTGTGCTCTGCAGGTCACTCTACCCGCCATCAAAGAGCCTCTTTCAGGGCTCCTGTTCTTCAGCTCTCAGAGGAAAAGCAGCCTGATGGACAGCAGTCAGTCCAACGAGTCAAAAGCCTGTCTGGCCTATCTGCTGTTTGTCCAGCTCGTAACCATAGACAGCTTCCCAGCAGTGTTCAGGTGAGATACGAAGCCACAATCTGGTCGTCCTACTGATGCATATATTCTATACGATGCTCACTGCAGCTGCTCTGTCTGTAGTCCTGTATTTGTTCTTCAGCGCAACATGGAATACATCGATCACCTGCTCAGTAGGTATGTCGTCAACACAATATGAAGGGAACAGGTCTGTGCTTTTAAAATTACTGGTTTCTTACAGTATCGTGCATTTTGCTCCTTTGACAGCAAAAAGGAATCTCACTTGCTCAAAGGACTGGTACGGCCCCATCCATACGCAGAAACATCTCAGAGAATACATCACACCAAGTATGGAAGTAGTAAACTGAGGTTGTTTTTGTTTGTTTACTCAGGCACTGTTTACAAAAAGCTTGGAGAGCATACAGGACAACAGCCTTCCAGTGAGTCTACTGGAACAGAAAAGCTTCTTCAGTGTATTACAGGTGAGAAAGGCAGGTCATCAGACTGTAAAACCTTTAAAGTCTAAAAGGCTGCACTACAGCGGCTGTATTTACTACCTAAATGTGGAAATAATGAGAGGAGTTGCTCGTAAAGAGGAGCCGGCAGAGAATCATGAGCCCAGTTTGCAGCTTGCTTTGGCTTTACAGAGCATTACATTAAGTTTCAGCTCATCGTTTAGCTGCCGGACCAGTAACTTTACTGTTTGGGTGCAGTCTCACTGCTCTCATAGTTTTGTTTCAGCTGTTGTTAGTGAAATGAAAACAACAGAGCACATCCTGCACAGCACCAAACACCCGGCAGACACAGTTCACTACCAGCTGGTGATCACAGTGGAGCAGTTAGCAGCGACAAGATGTATGTGGAGATCAGAGACAACCAGAGAGAAAACAATACTTTCTAGTCAGTTATGTTCACTCATAACTGCTGGATGTGTAAGTAGGCAACTTTCATATCATATGTATCGAAAACCTGAAACCATTCATGAGTGTCAGAAAAAAAAGGCTAAAACTATTAATAAAAAATAAATAAATAAATGGAAAAAATGATCAGATTTTCACCTTTCTGGTAGTCCTTGGACTCCTCATCTGAAACATCCCGCTCCATAGGAAAACCTCAACAGGCTTAAGCTTTCTGGCCTAGATGTTTCTGACTTATTCACTCAGCTGGGTTAAACTGCAGGCACAAATTAAACTGTGAGTAATAAAGTATTAATACTATTCACTATCCACCAGTAACGGTTATACCTGTTGGTACTTGGAAAAATGTTGTATGTTGATTCAAACTTTTGTAACACAAATAATCAAATTTAACCTTTCCTTTAAAAAAAAAAAAAAATTATTTATGGTGTTTTAATTTTGTTGTACTGCACAAAATACATGATTTTGAGTTCAGTCCATTTCTGTTGTGCTGTTTCCATAGAGGTGCAAGACTTAATATTTTGGTAAAAAGGAGCCAGCAGAGAGTAAAAATATGACAGGGAAAAACAATCCTGTTTAAATATAAAACATTAAATCTCTATTGCTAACTGCCACAACTACAATTATTGTGACCAAACTATCAGTGAGCACTGTGAGCCAGCTAATGCGTTGATCTACAGATGGAGTCGATTCAAACTGCTGACCTCGCACAGTACTTTTGACTAATTTGTGTTCTGCTGAAATTCACAGAACCTGCGGCAAGTTCTCACCGACTGTCCGATGCAACATCTGGTGAGTTCGCAATTATGCTTAATTAGAGGAAGACTTTCTTCATTTGCAATATCAGTGTAAAAGGCCTGATTTTGTTGAATTTATATCTTTCCAGAGAGAAACAGGACTGCACATTTTCCAGCTATTTATTGATAAATTAGATGCTGAAGCAAAACACAAGTTCTTCAGGTGAGAATTTTGTATTTTTTTGTAAAGAAATCTTAAACATACATATTGTATATCTACCATATTGAATACTTAACGTATATATTCAGAATGTGTCCTTACTAAACATACCACTACTGTTTTTAATAATATTTTATCAATACAATACAGTTCCATTTGTCATCTAAGTCCTTTTGTTCTGTACTTTCCTGCTATTTGCTTCTGCTGTTCTTATCTGATACTGAATAATTTAAGTGCATCGGTCATTTTTCTTTTGCAGGTGCATGTTAAAAACCAGCAACCATGCAGGAGTGGAAAGTTATATAGTCAAGAACATCAAGAACCAAATAGAATCTTCCATGAAGGTGAGATAAACAATGACACATGTGGGTCACATTGATAGTTTAATAAGAATTCAAAAGATCCCACTTCGATATTATTTGACCTGGATCTTTATGGTTAATACACAGTGTGATGTGAAGATGTTGTCTGAATTATCTCAACCCCTTTCTAGCCAGGAAATGCCAATAAGTGGTTCTTGGGAGCAGAGCTTCTGTCGTTGTTGGGACTGGTGCTGTGTTTGCCACAAGGTGCCGAGACAGATTTACTCAACAGTATGGACAAGTGAGTACGAAGAACGAGGGCTTAGTGTACAGACAGGCCTGCTCATCTGGTACATGTAGGTCTACACTAGACATAAGACATTAATAACTACTATAGCGTGGTTGAAAATTCACTTAATCAGTCAGTGTTTTAATGTTGTGACTGATCGCTGTGCACACACAACACCAGCTCTTTATATCTACCTCTGGTGAATTTCGGCCATGAAAAACCAGATCCACAACTAAAATAAGCCTACATTTGATTAAATATGAACGTAAATTTAGATGGACAAAAATATTACTACTACAAAGAAGCTCAGATCTAATTAAGTGGCAGACCTCTGTGAATACTCGCAATCTGAGATTCAAAGACAAAAGTCTATCAGTGTGAGAACTGGGACACTTCATCCACACTGAGCCTCGAAGAAATGCTCTGTCTTTGTTTATCCAGGATAATGGAGAGTCTGAATCTTCTACGCTATGTGCTTATCAGAGACAAAGACCTGAGAAGCAAAGTAAGTCAGTCTAATTCAGCACTTTTACTGCATGTCTTCCAGCCAGCCTGGTTAATGCAGAAAGCTGACGATCTCCTCTTCCTAGTTTCAGGCAGATGTGTGGGAAGATCTGTGCAGGATCAAAGACGAATACATAAAAATGCTGCGTGTGTGTATCGGCATATCAAGAGCCTATTATTCCTCTGAACTGAAAGCACTGAAGGAGGATCAAAAGCTGAAAGCAAAAGGTAGGAATTAGCTGCTAATCTGTGTGACAAAATGACATTGACGTAGCCTTGGACAAATGGTACAATAATGTAATTTCATGCTGTCGACTCTGTCCGTTGTCCTCCCTCAGAGGCTAGAGATGCTGCTAGATCCAGCAGATCAGTCAAAAACATGACGGTAAAGCATGAGAAAGTGTCAAATATGTCCCCAGAGGTCCAGCACCAGGTACAGAAAACTTTCCTTCCTATTGATTAATGCTCGTTTTGGTTTTGGACTCTGTATGAACAGCAAGCTGACTATTCTTCTGTATCTCAGGTGTTGCAGAGTGCAATGGTGACATTTGACCTGATGGAGAGTCTCATAGTTCGTATTGAGGAGATCACAGAGGAAAAGCAGAGCAAAGTAAACTGAGGACACTTGTGTCATTTCAGATGGCTGCACATTTTTTTCTAAGTATACAGTTTTTGCTTTTTTTTCATTGTTTGACTGATTAAAGGAAATCAAGTGCTGAACAAAGTGTGCATTTTCTTATGCCAACATAGCTGAACGTAAAAACAGAACAAACTGTGCTACTACTGTATGTTGAAACACATCTTAATCTCTAGTAAGGCTTGTACGGGTTGCGTCAAATAAAATAGAATACTGATGGATCGCCTGAGCTTTACAGTCTGTCTCTTAGCATCTCCCACACAGGACTGCTTTCAATGATGTGGGCTCGAGCCAGAGACATCCGGTGCCGGATCATGTCCACATGAGGCTTGCTGGTGGCCTACGTAAATAAACGAGCACTGGTTCACTTTAAGGCATCACAAGGGAACAACAGCATATTTAATGTGTGGTCCAGTGTCACCACATAACTTTACCTTGGCGATAGTCAACATCCCTTTGACAATTTCAGCATTGTTTCGTACAGGCAGGATCCTGAGATTGCTGGCAAAGAACCTGAAAGAGACAAAGACTCACTCAGTTATTGGATATATGACGGGACGAGTATTATATAGAATCTTTGAACCAGAATGCCAATGAACGCACAAACTGAGCTTCCTTAGTGTCACTCTAGCAAAAAGAAAAAAGGGGTTACACACTCTCCCAGATAACAACTTGGGGAAGTAGAACATTTTGTAGAGAAATGTCTACCTGTTCTGAATGAGAGTCAATATTTCCTGCTCCCTTTTCCCATTACAGGGGGCCTGCAGGAGTAGAAAGCAGTTTCGGTGGACTTGAACAAACTTTTTGATCTTCTCAGTGAGTCCTGATTCCTCAAAAGGCTCTGAACGGTCTTGAGGGTCAACCAAGAGAAATGCAGTACCTAAGCAAGCAAGTTAGAAATGTCAGAACCTTATTCTCAGCCAAGAACAAAATGCCTTACTTTGGCCATAACATCATTAAAAGAAAAGCCTATGAGGAGTATCTGAGGATTCAGTAGAAAGCTTTCTAAAGTACTTTAACTTAAAAATGTAAGGCAAATGTGTTGGAGAAATAACTACCCCAAACCTTCTATAGTTATGGATGGATTATGAAGGAATCTACTGGGAACAGGTTGAGGGGCCCAAAGAGTCAGGGGGCCCTGATCCAGAGCCTCTGTTTTAAGTGATGGTGAACATATATACAGTGACACAAAATGACCACAAAGAGACGCAAAACATCAAACATTTTGTGTCTGTGACATGACAGGTGGGACCAGTTGGTACAGGTGTGTAGTGTTTCTGTTAGCTTACCTGACAGAGGAAAAATAAAGGCTCCGGACTGAACGCTGTCCGAAAACCTGATTCGGTGCTGCTGCGCCATTAGCATCTTGTTAGCATCGTTGTTCTGGAGAAACGAATGGAAGATACTTAAATTAACTTCTCTGTTTAAAGTAATTATATTGAATTATCTGTTAAATGACATATATAGCCTAATAAGTTACATTTACCAACTTTTATTAGCTTATTTTGCTCGTTTTTTATGGCGGTAGCGCGTTAGCTAGAAAGCTACCAAACCCGTGCTAATTTAACGAACCGTCGTCAGAAAACCTGATTCAGTGCTGCTGCGCCATTAGCATCCTGTTAGCATCGTGGTTCTGGAGAAACGAACCGAAGATAATGAAATTAACTTCTCTGTTTAAAGTAATTAGATTAACTTATCTGTTAAAAGACAGATATGGTCTAATAAGCTACGTTTTACCAACTTTTATTAGCCTATTTTGCTCGTTTTTTTCTGGCGGTAGCGCGCTAGCTAGAAAGCTAGCAAGCTGAACTGTCATCAGAAAACAATCCATCAAAATGTGGGAAAGTTCAGAGTTATTACCTGCAGGGATGTGCTCACTATAATGGTTGTTTTCCACTGAGGAGCAGCTTCTGTGTGTGTCTCCATCACCTGCTGGTTAAAGGTAAGTTATCGGTTCTGATTTACTGATAAAATTCAGTTGAAACACAGCTGGACCCTGAACGCAGCACAACTCTTGTTTTGCCGCTAGAGGTCGCTGTCTTGTTAGTTTGGGTGTTTTCTCGTATAAAAGCTTTGTTTAGTGGTTGAAATATATATTTTTATTTTTTTTAAATTGCAAAAACAACTAACTTAATGTAAAATCCTGAATCTCACCATATATTGTTGAGCAGATGGGTGTGTTAAAATAATTTAGGTATTTTTGCGCCAAAGAAAAAACTGCCCTTTACCAGGAAGAAACCTGGAAGTGCTGAGCCACCCCAAATATTACATTTAGTTTTTTTTTTCTTCTAAAATTGTACTGTCTGTCGAAGTATTAATAGTTTTTAAGGTTTATTCAATCCAAAATATTGTTTTCTGTTAAGGCGCCTAAAATTTTAAAGGTTTAGTCTGCCCAAAAAATTAGTCTCTGTCAAAGTACATAAATAGTACTATAGTACAGTTTTAAAGGTTTATTCCACCTAAAATACTGCTTATACTTTTAAAGTTTTATTTTAACCAAAATACAACTTACAGCTTTAGGGCTTATTCCACCCAATTAGTACTTTGTGTTCAAGTACTTATAGTTTTAAAGGTGTATTCCACTCAAAATACTACTTATCGGTATAAAGGTCTGTTCCGCTACTTGTGGAAACTCTAGGAAGCACAAGCAAGCGTGCCGTCTATAAGTAAAGAACTATGTTGGGATAATATGGTGCAATAAAGTCTTTAAGATACGATGGAGTTTGGGTTTTGCAGCCAATGAAGAGAAGCTAACGTGGGAGACATAAAATCTCCCTCGCTGGCTTCTGTCAGAAGTCTAGTTTGGATCAATTGGAGGTTTTTCAGAGGTACTGGGACATACTGATAATAAGGAATTACATTGGTTCAGAAGTAACAAACACATGGACTAGTTTTTCAGCATCACTCCGAGACAAGATGGTCGTGATCTTGACAATTTTGTGCAGGTGAAAGAAGGTAAACATGTAGACGTGTTTTATTTATGGTAAAGGACATATCCTGGTCAAAAATAACTCCAAGGTTCCTCACAGTAGTGCTGGAAGCTAAAGTAATGTCAAGCAGAGGGAGTATATGGATAGTGTTTAAAAACTAATTGAGCTGGAGCAGTTTCAAAAATAACTAAAATGAAATATAAATTTACAGAAAAATTCTATAGTTTTAAACTGTACTAAAAAAAATAAACAAAGAATAAAAAACTGCATCTAACTTGGTGTACGATATGTCTGTGACAGGACAGTGACAAACACATTGGGGTTTTTTTTCGAAACACAAACTTTTATTTTCAGTATGACACTAAATGCAAGCCAATCGGCCAATATTACTTTTCTTTAAGAAACTTCAGTCAACCGTATTATTAGAAGACTGTCAAGAAATAAAATTTCTGAGAAAGAAATGATTTTTTTTCTGAGTCTTATTTTTTTCTAGAGCTTCAGAAGCAACACCAATTAAACAGTCAAACATACAAAAGTATCAGCATGCATAACAGCCCATTTGTGTCAAGAAAGTCCACTACGGGCGTAATGGGGAACGCAAATAAACTGCTGCAAAGTCCAGAGGTCTGTAGAGTCCAAGAGAAAAAGATATAAAGAGACAGATGCGTTATAAATTATAATAAATTAAGACAAAATCAATGTAATGAGTTCCAACAGAAGGCGTTGACTGTCCGGCAGGCTCTCCTCTGTGTGGTCAGTGATGTGTTTCCAGTTCCACGATGGTCCACTCCCCCTGTGGAGATGCAGCGTCTTCTGGGGAGAAGCTGGTCACAGTGATGCTGGTGGAGGAGTCCTCCATGGGCGAGATGAGCTCTGCCCAGCGCTTGAAGGTCTCCTTCTCTGGCGACAGGAAGGCCTGCGAGTCCAGGCAGTCACGCGACAGGGACAGAGTCTGCTTGATAAGGTACTGGGCCAGGTTGAGCTCCTCAGGCACGGGGTTTATGACGCCCAGATTGGATTCGTGATCTGAGAGGAGCTGCCTGAGCAAACTCCAGTCCCGCTCTGCAAACTCACTGGTTTTGTCCCCGTCCACTCTTTGCTTTTCTTCCTCCATATGTTGTTTAACATTCCTGTCCTTGTCCGAACAGTGCTCAAAGGCTTCTCCCACATCCATCTCGTAAATGGGAGAGAGGGCTTTGGACGGTCGGCGGTCATGTTTGCAGGTTTGATCCAATCTGTCACAACCATTGTCCCCTAAAAACAATTGACAATACTGCAAAATGACAAACTGAATCACTCCTCCACAGTTCTTTTTTTCATTTCAGAGACTGCCTACTAAAATAAAACACAGATAACTAGAAGTTTACCCTTAATGCAACTGTGCCCTTTAAAAACATTCCATAGTGATGTTTGGTGAGGACATCAGAGAGGAAGCAGTGATACTGATGATGGTCAAGAAAATGGCAATACCAACACCAATTTCAAATTTAAGAAATCAAAGTTCACCCATCACTTCAAATATGCATGTCAAAGGGTAGACAGTTGCTTTAAAGGTAACGCACAGAGGAATGCTTTTCTGAATGCATCTCTTTATCCACCCGTTCAAACAAAGTAAGCCATGCATTGCCAGCACCAGTGAACTTTGCATTTGTCAGGAAGTAACAGTGATATGTTTAGAGATTTACGTGCAGGTCTTTGAACAGGCAGACCTCATGAACAGACTTAAATACTGTCACAAAAAAACCTAAGTGCAAGCTTTACTTAGTAGCAACAGAAGATGGCACACCACCATGTTTCTTTTGACATTCTTTGTGTTCTCTATTTTTAACAATTCAAAAATAGCAAACGATTATGTAACTAATCACTGTTTGAAAACAAAAATAATTCACATGTTTGCATTGGTAATGGTGCAGCAGGATTTCTTTTTCTGAATATGATAGTGAAAAAAGAGAGACATGGCAGAACCATGACAGCTGCCCTAGACAAACATCACATACTTTACAGAGGAGGCTACTGACACTACACAAAACCTACTAAACAAAAGCTTATAGACAACAAAACACTGTTCTCGTAAAAGATGGACATCTATCTAGACACAGGTCTACTGGGTGTGACAGGAGGTGATGGAAAAATCAAACGTAAATGAACACATAAATAAAAGGTGGTGTAGGGAGATGACAAAGTAATTTTAAAAAATAGCATGCATGTATGCAGTGCAAAATAAACAAACAAAAAACTCAGGAACAAGTACATTCTTGGATATAAATAAAGAGAAACCGCACGGAGATGCAAGGGAAAAGTTTCCCAGAGTAACAATCTTTTCTGAGAAGCAGTGGCAGTTTAGTTTCTTATATGTTGTACAAACATTCTGTATATTTGGACTTTTATGTCAGGTAGTCACTTTCCAGAAATTTGAAAAAAAATCATTGCTTGCTTTGTAATTTACCTGATCGCAATTTTTAAAGGCGCTACATTTAACATTTTAACATCAAAAATCTTTGAAAAATAATTTTCAGATGTTAGTATTATTACAGTAAACAAAAACATCACTGAGAAGCTGAGCTGCGTCCAGCGATGCTGTAGTGCGATTCACACAATAAACCACAAGGTCCTGATATGTAGGGCTGGAGTTTTTAGTGGGCAGAGAAACAGACTACGTGTTCTCATAACTCTGAACTGGCCTTACCTAATGGAGACTGCTAGTTCTGACTTATTTAACGTTCACTGAATGTTTAATCAGAGTCCACTCCGAATTACCTGACATCGTGTCAAAGAAGTTGTTGGTGTGGCTGCATTTTGTGAACGGCCAAAATAACAACTCTAAACAGAATGTTTTTCCCCGATTGATTGACGCAAAGGTCCGATTTTAATCCTGCAAGATTTTCTTTTAGCTCCCTGCATCACGGCTGATTTGCTGGGAATCTAAGTTTCTCAAAACGGCAGCGGTGTAGTGAATGAAAAGCCAAACATATTTATTCTATATAATAAATCAAAACAGAAAGTGACATGCATGGAGCATCAGAAAGAAGAGACATAGCAGCATATCCTGAGACAGGAGGGGTGTCACTGTCGGTGGCATGGCAGGAAAAAATATCCCTAAAACGGTCTATTTATACTCGTGATTATACTAACAATTCAAGATTGATTTAGCAAAGATATACTGATGTTAAAATGCTGTTTGTAGCACCGTCAACTATGTCAGATTATCTATGGCTTAAAAAAGGCCAAAGACTCCTCCACTGCATAAAAGAAATGACAAAAATAATCAAAAAATCTTATTTTTATGTACATAAAAGTGCATTGGTATAACTATGTCACAGGCCTTGTCACAAGGCAGATTCTTTTTGACAAATACAATTCTATGATCAGTCTTAGTGAAATGTACACTGCTTTTCCCTTTTTTGTGTAAACTGAGTTACCACGGCCTAAGCGCCT